GTGAGGGCAGCACAGGCTGCAGACGGGAGTCGGCGGGAGGAGGACACCAGCCCGCAGACCCAGAACAGAGACTCTGGGACAAACAGCGAAGGCGCAGCTGGGCTGGGCCTCTGAACCACCCCTACCCAATCCTCCAGAAGTCTCCTGGTCAGTCACACGGTCCTGAAAAGCCTCACTGTGAGCCTCACCTGTAGACAGTCCAAGACCGAGCTGGCACACTGTCGCCCTCCCTCCCTGTCCGAAGCAGTGGGAGTGTTTACAGGCTGAATGAACGCAGTGAAGTCTCTGCTCGTGGGGAGAACGTCTCCCCAGCACACTGCCCCGTAAGGAGCAGGCGTGGTCCTCCGGGTGAGAGGACTGAGCCCCCATAATGAGCATTTAACAAAAACCTGAGGGGAGAGCCACACCCAGCTGAGGAACTGCTGCCTCTCCCTGCCCACAGCCTCGATGCATCCTTATAAACTCCTTAAACATAAAACAGTGAAAGTTTCAAGCTATGATAGTTTGTGTGAACTCACAGATAAGGGAGAAGGAACCCAAGGAGGCTAAGTTACTAGCCCAAGGTCACAAACTTCTGAGAACCAGAAGGAAACCTCAAATTCCATTTGCGAAGGCCAGTGCCTTGTCAGCCCATTACCCAGTGCTTGCCATGAACAGTCCTGCTTTTATTTTAATCCGATTCATTAGCGCGTTCCCAACCTACCACGCAGTGTCAGCGCTGTAACACTCCTCACTCCCGACTCCTGACTCTCTTCATAATGCTCCCTAGAACTCCGTGCCACGTTTACTATCTCCTGAAGAGCTCAATCGTATAGAAAAGACAAAGTAAATTAACTAGGAAACCGTTTACCTGGATTGCAGGCTGTGCCAAACTAAGTCACTCGAATAGATGTCACAGTACTTAACCGCTACAAAATGAAAACTGTATTCATTACAAGTTTAGTTGTTGTTGTTGTTTTCTGGTTTTGTTTTTTCACTTTTGCCATAGGGTACATGCACTAACCAGGGAGAAGGAGAGAGAGAGAGAGAGTGAGAAAGCACCCTGCAGACGACGGCCATGCCACATTCCCTCCTCCACTTCTCCCTTCTGTTGGGATTCTGGACATATACGCACACACACTCGATGTATTCTTCAAGCCACTGGGTCTGGGCCTTGAACTGTGCACTTGGCTATGTGGGATTTAGCTGCCTTAACCACCATGCTGACCCACATTAGCGTTTCTTAACCAATTCTTCCTGCCCTAACAAGTGTATCATTACAAATGCAGACTCAGGCCAGCAGGCGCTGGACTCCCACATGGCCAACTGCAGTTCAAGTCCCAGACCTGGTAGCTTGCTTTCTCACTTTCCCTCTCTCTCTCTCTCTCTCTCTGGTGAGTGCACATGCCTTATAACAAATTAAAAAATAATAGCAATAAATATAATTAAACAAATCATTCTTCAGAAAAGCAAAAATAAATGCAGACTCAAGGACATACACGCTGAAGAAATAAAATATTCTTTGATGTCATGATACTAATGCTTTGTAAACTGTCGATTATCTGAAATAAAAATGTCTTTTGCTTTCATAAATCCTTTCCCTCAAACATATCAAACTTGTTTGTGAAATGAGATTACGAAAGCAGCACACGGGGCACAGTGATGTCATGTCTCATGAGGGTTCTGTTGGCGAGAAGGTGGAGTTAGGGCGACCGGCAGAGGGGCAGATGGTTCTGTTACGTGCAGAGATAAAGACTTTTCTATTAGCCCATTTTTGCAAAGCGAACATAAGGAATGACTTTTGTTCCTCTTAGGAAATACAATTTTTCAAATAAGCACAAGTTGGCTATTTTAAGTTTTTTTCATCATTTTTTCACATAAAGCTGCCAATAGCTTATGGTAAGAGCAAAACATTTACTGTAGCTTGAGACCAGCAGTTAGATTCTATCATTAAGGGGCAGATGCCAAGGCCAACCGTGTCCAAGATATTCCGAATAAAGAAGGATCGAGTGGCAACACTTTGGTCTACCAAAAAGCCAGCTCTTAGTAATGAGGTAAGCCACGGGCAGATGGTGAGGTTACATTGTATCAGAATAGAAAGCCGCTGCATAAAGCCTTCAAAATCACCAGCAAAGTAAATAAATTAGAAAATAACATGGACGGGATTCCTGACAAAGGAGGGGGCAGGGCTGACTGTCCTCGATTGACACATGTTAGCATGTTAGGTCTGCTTGGCATCAAGTCTTAGTCCACGGACGAGGACAGAAGTTTTCACCTCAACCAGTGAGACAGCGATGGGAAAACTACTTCCGAGTGCCACCTGCCCCGACACAGGCGTCGGTTCAGGACGTAGGAAACATCTCAAATGTACCTGTATGCTGCCGAACTCAACATTCTCGTAGTGGAAATGTGCACACTCAGCCATCTTCGGGAAGTGGCCCTTCGTGAAGGGCAACCTGAAGCACATGGAGAGAAATGAGAAACAAGACAGTGGGAGAGTCAAAATCGCTACGTCTAAGGGGAGACAGGATTCCGGAGCTCGTGCAGGCGGAACTACTCAGGAAGCGCATGCACATGGACCGCAGACCCCGCCGGACCCTTCCGGGGACACGCTGAGTCCAGTGAGAGGTACATTCAGGGCACGCACTGAAGTCAGAAATGACACAGGAAAGCGTCGCTAGACTCTTCTACTCCTGACCCACGCTGCTGTCCACAGTGAAGCCGCGCTTTCCGTGCGTGTCACGGACCCGAGGGGGCACCCGCTAACAACGGCAGCACGCCCGGTGCGGGCACAGGTTTACCTGTGGGTGTTGTCACAGCCCATCAGTCCTGGCGCGGTGGACCTGGATGCAGAGTAAACACTTTCATCCCTGCCCTTCCTCCGCTTATGCATGAAGCACAGCTAAATCTTTCCCCGTGAGCAGCTGCTCCTCCTGTCTAAGACCAAAGGGGCCGAGGTATTCCCTGAGCGGTCAGCTCGTCCTCCATTGCAGACTGCTCCCAGGCAAGTCTGACATCGAGCAATTTCATAACTCAAACAACAGAGGTGATTCTGCTAGAGGGATGAGGACTCCCACTGAAGGTACCGCGAAGGGCACAGCCGGCCGGCCCCATTAACAGCTGCCACCTAACAATGACGACTTGTTCCGAAACAAAATAAATGCATCTGTGGCCAAGTGGGTGACCTGGAGACCCACTCCGCGAACCACGTGACTAACAGCGTGTCTTGTAAGAAACCAGAGTTTCACGAGAACTAAGACTGGCTCCCACCGGGAGGAGTCCGTGCAGAGCCCGCGCTGAGCCCCACTTACTTTTTCACATGTTTAACCTTCATGCTGGCTGTGCTGCTGCACGTCTTAAGGGTGAGGTCTCCAGGAATCTCCGGCACGTCTGCTCCTCTGGCCTTGGAAACATAAAGACACAAGATTGGTGACTCCCCTTTTTAAAGCAGAGTTTATGTTTCTGCTGACCTTGGGCCAACAGGAATGTACCTTGGTTTAATAACCTCTTTTCAAAAGTATAACATACTTGAATTTTTAAAAAATAATCATTTATTTTATTTTATTCATTCATTCATTTTTTTTTTTTTTAATTTGACCAGAGAACAGCGTGTCTTGTAAGAAACCAGAGTTTCACGAGAACTAAGACTGGCTCCCACCGGGAGGAGTCCGTGCAGAGCCCGCGCTGAGCCCCACTTACTTTTTCACATGTTTAACCTTCATGCTGGCTGTGCTGCTGCACGTCTTAAGGGTGAGGTCTCCAGGAATCTCCGGCACGTCTGCTCCTCTGGCCTTGGAAACATAAAGACACAAGATTGGTGACTCCCCTTTTTAAAGCAGAGTTTATGTTTCTGCTGACCTTGGGCCAACAGGAATGTACCTTGGTTTAATAACCTCTTTTCAAAAGTATAACATACTTGAATTTTTAAAAAATAATCATTTATTTTATTTTATTCATTCATTCATTTTTTTTTTTTTAATTTGACCAGAGAGAGACAGAGGGTGAGAGTGAGAGAGAGAGAGGAAGTGAGAAAGCAAGCCACCAGATTCAGGACTCGAACCCTGGCCGGCCGTGTGGGAGTGTGCAGCACCTTAACCACCATGCCACCTGCTGGTCCCCATACTTGAGTTTTAATTATTAAGAATAAGGTTTTTTTAATTCACCCAACTTAAATATTTAGCTTTACTGTATAAGAAAAACTTTTTGTGAAAATAAAAACTTTCATGATCTTGTAATCAAATTTCAAAATCAGCTATTATAGTGGGTTGTCGGAAAAGACATGCCGTATTTTTTTTTCTATGTGTTTCTAAGCAAAAATGAGACTCAATATTGTGTGTCTCAGTGTGAACTAAAATGCCCTCTGGGAGTTGTTAGAGTAAAATAACCTTGGCCGCAATGACTGACGCAGGCTAAAACAGCGCTGCACGTAACCTACACATCGCGACATGCATCTCCTACACCAAACTCTGCGACACGCATGTAATGCCTCTAACTTACTCCTGAGCCACGGTTTCCACAGTGAAGTTTCAACTTTAGTAACACATTCTTAAAAGACAAATTTATGTTATAATGACCTACGATTTACAACAGAAAAACCTAAATCGAACCATCACAGCAGGCCACATCACTCAACAACAGAGAACGCTATGGCGTAAGCAGTCCGGGTGAGTGGAGAGAAGAATCGCCACCTTTTTTTTTTTTTTGTCTTTAAGAAAGAGTTTTGCTATAGGGTGTGTGCACTTGCCAAAAAGACAGAGACAGAGACAGAGAGAGCGAGAAATAACTCCCCATGGGTATGGTCACGCCACAATCCCTTCTCCGTTCTCCTCTTGGGATCTTGGGCACGCACGCACATGCGCCTGCTGCATGCCAGTGTGAGCTTTAATCCACTAGGTCTGGGACCCAAACCACAGTCGACTATGTGGGAGTCCAGCAATGTAATCATTACACCACCTGCTGTTCCCGAGAATCATAAACGTTTTTTATAAGAATTATTTTATTTAACTTTATTTATTTTAACTTGACTAGAGAGGGATAGAGTGAGAAAGAGAGAGAGGGAGAGAGGGAGAGAAAATGAGAAAGCATGCTGCCAGGTCCCGGACTCGAACCACGGTCGGCTACATGAGAGTCCAGCACCCCTTAACCACCACGCCACCTGCTGGCCCCGAGAATCATGACCTTAACTAAACTCTTAAGAATGTTTTCTTATGAAAAATAAATAAATAAATAACCAAGATGGTCTGGGTAGACATTTCAAAAAATTACAAGACATCTCAAAGATAACAAGCAGGAAACGCAGGGACCTGTAATTAAGCCCCGGTACATCACGGGGCCCAGTGGACCCAACTTTTCTTTCCTCACCAAGTTTAACTATTTGTGAATTGATATTTCATGGTCAGTCCCTCTTAGGTGTCTTTTCATTCCTTCTTAGAGGCCTTCCAAAGAAGAAAGAATACCTGCTCTCTCTTTAGCAGTGGACTAGGACTCTCCATCCTGTAATTATCACACAGATCAGTAGATCTTTTATAAACCTAAACTAGGATCTTGCCTTATTTTTCCTCTGCTTTGAAGCATAGTTATTTCATAATGCTGGGTATTATTTCATCTGCACTCATAATCATTCACCAATTATTCCCTGCCATGCTAAAAACACATTACAAGATTAAATTTTTAAAAACATTTTAAAGAAAAAAGGGGGGGGGGACCAGCAGTTAGCGTAATGGCTATGTCGCTGGACTTCCACGTAGTCAACCGTGGTTTGTGTCCTGGACCCAGTGGCGGAAGACATGCCGGGCTTGTGTGTGTGCGTGCCCAAGATCCCAAGAGGAAAATGGAGGAGAAGGGATTGTGGTGTGACCATCCCCGCTGGGGGGTGATTTCTCGCTCTTTATCTCTCTGTCTCTCTGGCGAGAGCACACGCCCTATGGCAAAAACCTCTCCAAAAAAAAAAGAAAGAAAAAAAGGGGGGAGGCATAGGTAGTGTGGTGGTTAAGGCCCTGGAATCCTACATGGCTGACCATGGTTCAATTCCTGGCCCTGGCAGTTTGAAAATCCCACCAGACATCTGTGCATGCATGCCCAAAGTCCTGACAGGAGAATGAAGAAGGAATTGCAGCATGGTCGACACCCCCTGGGCATGATTTCTCACTTTTCCCCTGTCTGCCTCTCTCTCTGGCAAGAGTACACACCCTATAACAATAAAGAAAGAAAGAAAGAAAGAAAGAAAGAAAGAAAGAAAGAAAGAAAGAAAGAAAGAAAGAAAGAAAAGAAAAGAAAAGAAAAGAAAAGAAAAGAAAAGAAAAGAAAAGAAAGAAAGAAAAAAGAAGGAAGGAAAATGGGGAATTGCCTAGGGGGGGGGGGCAAAGTTTTCCTTAAGGGAGCAACTAGTAAATATTTTAGGCTCGGAAGCCATACTGTCTCCACTGCAACTCAAGTCCACGCCTGCAGGACAAAGGCGACCACGTGTCCACGAGCGAGGGCAGCCACATTCCAGCAACATCTGCAAGAACAGGCACCTGACGAGGCGATGCTGGCCAGCCCATGACCTACAAGCCGACGCCAGTTTCCGAACAGTGTGGCCCAAACTCTGCGTCTCTCAGGAAGCGACCTAGAGACCGGGGACACGCTCCGCGGCCTGCACAGCTTTCTTTGCCAGCCATGATAGAAAAGGGGAGGGCGTGGTGAAGGAAGGCTTCCACGGTAACTGGAGACAGCCACAGAGGGCTGTGAAGAGGCAGCACCCTCGACTTCAGTCACGGTGAAAACAGTCGTGTCCGCGCCATCTCAGGACCCGTGATGTCCCCGACGAGCACAGCACCGCTCAAGGGCTGCAGGAAGGGTGGGACCCTGAGCTGGAAGGGAAACCGTGCTCTCCCGTCAGCGATCTAACTGGAAGGCACGTGCGGCAACGCTCTCCCACCTCCCGTCTGTGCACCGAGATTCACCTGGCGCAGAGGCTGGGCTGGGGTGCTCACCGCAACAGCTGCCAGGCCGCTGGTCACCATTTCTTCTGTGAACTATTCAGAAATTAACTTAGAAATAGTAAAGAATAAAAAAGGAGTCAGTGAGCCAGGCTGGTGGGCGACGACTTTCTGCAGCCGGCTGGCATTTAATGTAGTGACCTTCTGAAAACCAGCCCTGTGCTGCACTGCCACTGTCCCTAACCCCCGACAGAGGGGACGAGGAGCTGCCCAGCCGCGCCAGACGAGGAGACGCGCCATGGCCCACACACCCCACCACATGGAGGGGCCGGGGTGAGGACGAGGCAGGCGGGGCACAGGGCCTGCCAGGGACACTGCCGAGAGGACAAGACGGCATGATAGACCAGTGGACCAAACGATGGTTCAAGAAGCTGTAGGGTCTGAGAACGCAGCTCTGAGCCTACAGTTCAGCCTGCCCTGACCAGCTGTGTGTGATTCGCCTAGAAATACCCCTTACCCAGAGAGCGGTGAGCACATTCAGGGTACTCCGGACATCTCCGTGATCGAATAAATACAATGTACTGTAACATAACAAATTACCTCATTTGCTCTTTCAGGCTGAAGCAGAAGAATGAAAAGGAGATGACAGTGTTGCCACCCAACCGCGTTCACAGGTATTTTCCCCTTACTGTGTTGCTGCTAATCAAAGATGAAGAAAGTTCTTTTACAGAATAACTCATCAAGTGATACAAAACGCACACGTTTCCCAAACTATTCACGCTATCATCCTTATTTAATTCTGCTTCCAGATAGGAGTGCACAGAAATAGTGCCATTCGTCAACATAAAAGGTACCACTGAAGACTGAGCGCACACTCGTAAAGGCACGGCATGTACGCCGAAACCTCCGTCTATTCCTGGCGGTAAACGTGGCAGGTTAGACAGTTCCATCACCTTGGAGTTATAACCACTAGACACAGGTGCTGTGCCCCAAAAAGTAGACAGAGATTCCAAGGCTGGGAACAGTCCTCTGTCCCCTCACCCTGTGAGTCCACTGCCACGCTCATCACCCGTCCGCTCAACCCGGTCTTCAAATCGATTTCAACCTGCTCCAGGGAAGCCTACCCCAATAGCTTTGCCAAATGATGGCACTTTCCTTTATTAATCTTTTATACATTCATCCGCCAAATAGCACGTTGGAGCATACTATAGATCTGCTCAGATTTTACTGCAAACCGAAGGGCTACTTCATTTATCAAGAGAGCACTCCTCCTGAGCTGGAGCCATGGAGTCACGTGGGGCGCACATTTCACCAGCAACTTGTGTCCCCAAGCCCCACTCCAACAATAAAATCGAGCAAAAGAAAACAATTAAAGAGAACCAATATTGCTAAATACTCTAGAAAAGCAAATAAAGATTTCATCTTGCCTTTTTTAATTCCCCAGGATAATAAACAATATCTGTGAAAGTCTATAGGTAAAATAAAACTGATTTTTAAAAGCCAGCTCTATTTTTATGATCAAGAATATTTTATTCTTACTATTCTCATGTGCACTGCTAAGGGACCCTCCAGAAAGCGTGTTCTCACCCACGTCACTACCAGCCATGTGAAAGAGCGCTTTTTCCCTCGTAACCTCACAAACACTGACCACCGCCAGTCCTTATCGATCTGACAGGCTTTACTCCCTCATCTTTCGTTCATAGTTGACGAGGTAAAGTTGAGCAGTTCGTATTTTCAGTGGGCGTCCACATGTAACATTTGCGTAATGCACTTCATTCTTCCATATTTTGAGGCTTTTTTCCAGAAATTGGAGCCAACAGTATTTGTCTGACATATAATACGCCAAGATACTTACCAGCCTACCATTGCAC